GTGCCGACCGTCCGGCACTTTTCTCCGACCAACCTGACGTCAATTAACATATTATGACTTAAAATGAATACTAAGCTGAATTAACATAAAACGGCTGACTTTAATTCGATGAACCGAACCTCCGGCCGTGGCGCGCTCGCTATATGCGATGCCTACGGCCTCGGTCATCTCTCGGCCGAAAAGTAAGCAACCCGACCGATCTTAACTGTTCTGAACTTAACATAAATAATTTGATCGAACAAGGCCTGAACATATACCGAACACACGCTGAACCTGCAAAGGCCGCGGCGAACACCCAAGTGCCGCCGACGGCTATGTGCCGTCCCTCGGCCAATCTTACTTATCTTCCGACAACTACCTCACACTTCAGCATGAATAATAACGGAGACAGATTAAGGACTAAACACACGGAAGAACTCGATTAACATTGAAACAATAGGCCTCGGCCCGCGGCTACCCCCACTACGCGCGATAGGCGCGGGGCGCCGGCTAGGGCCCTTTCATCGGCCATACTTCATCTTATCTTAATAATTTAATCATGCTGAACTATCAACAACCTTAACTGATCATTTAAAAGCTTATTGTTCGAAAGTTGTCGGAAGAAAACAAAAATTGTTCGGTGATTACTTTACTTATGCATACATGGACTTAAGTGCGGTTTTTAACATGATTTCTGAAATTCCTCCGCACTATTAATCTGAAATAATCTTAATTACTTCAAACATGATCTGAGGAGACGTTTACCTCACCAATCGCTCGACGGAACTCGGCAACAAACGTGTACTTAAAGCCTTGCGCTCGCCGTGCGGTAGCCTCTCGCCTTTGCCGTGCGATTGCTATAAAAATTGGGAGAATTTTGGATGAACTGGTTGCTGAGGGAAGGGAAGAGATATGCTGAGCTTATAGGGGAAATCGGTGGAAAAATTTGGACCAAGTATATGCTTATATAGAGAGGCGCACGTTTGAGGGATGGTGACGAGGGCCTAATGTGGCTTCTTCCCTTTCTTCCACTTGCTCAAATCTAATGCATCTTAAGATGACTAAGCTTATTCATGCTTTGACAAGTTGCTCAAAATAATTGGTTAATAAACCTTTCTTCATGCTTAAGAAATGCACGGCCTTAACTTAGAAAAATTTGGAAAATTTCCAAAATCTTACGGCAATTAG